AATACCACCCCTTCCTCTTCTTCCTGTTCCTTCTCCTCCACTTCCTCCTACATCAGTAAAACAACATCTCTAACATGGGACATGAATCTAGACATCCGGCCTATCCCTACGCTTAAGAGAGAGCCAGACTTCGAGATGGACCAACGGCAACAACCACAGCCACCGCAAATCCAGCAACAACAGCCGATGGACGACGCTCAACAGCGACCTCAACACAGAAAGCTGACCTCGCATCCTCGCTTTAAAAGGAGGCACAAATCCAGTGAGGATTCCCCCAGAATGGTGCCATCCAACAGCAAGGCGTCCCTTCCTTTCCAGCCTCCTCCCCCAGCTTTGGACTCTTTAGGGCCCTTGGCACAACTGGCCCAGCTGCCTCAGATGCCCATGGACCCCGAGGAGCTGTGGGTCCACGAAGGATGCATCGTGTGGACCAGTGGAGTGTATCTTGTCAATGGGAGACTGTACGGCCTGCAGGAGGCACTAGATGGTGCCAGAGAAACAGTGAGTGGTCTCTGCATCTGTTTTCGTTTTGGGGATATTTTTTTAAGATAAGATAAGACTTTATTCATCCCGAAGGAAATCGTTGTGCCAGAGTTACAAAAATACAATAAACACAGCAGCATAATAGTAAAACTGTACACTAACAGTGCAGTAAAAAGAGCAATTAAATATCTACAGGACACATCATTAATGTAAATAAAAGACACAACAAATGCTTATCTATATATTGTTTTTGGTATAATTGATTAAGTTATTACAGCACAGACAGCTTCATATATATATATGCACAGAAAAGACAATTTCTCAAAGTAAGACTAAGGCAAAACAAAACAGGGGAACGGAAGAAAATGAATGATACAACATGGTATCGGACTTATGGTTGTGTAGTTATAGGGTGTGTGTTTTTGTGGGGTTAGACCAGGGGTGTCAAACTCAATTTCATCACGGGCCACATCAGCATTATGGTTGCACTCAAAGGGCTGGTTGTTACTTTAAGGCTATATAAAAATACATAAATATTTTATATATATAAAATGAATGATCTATTGTATGATATTATTGCCTCTGCATTGGATTATTATCGGATAGGGTAATAACCAGGGGTGCACATAAGTGGTACGCAGGTACGCATGCGCGGCAAAAGGGCTTCACACTCCACTAG